TTTGATTAAATTTTGTTATTTGGTGTGTGATTTAACCATGTTCTCTATCTCCCCATAATGTGTTAATTTACATTTACATGATTCATTCATGCTTTAGAAATTGGATTATTTTTAGACTTTTTTGACTTGACTCTGACCTTAAGGTGAGTGTGGGGTAAAAAACGAGGCTGCCCAATGTGTCTATTGGGGCTGCACAGCTAACATGGGAAGAGTCTAGGAATCGATACTCTAAACAGTTTTAGCCAGTCAGTAACAGAATGTCCTATTGGAGATACTTGTTTATTCCTTCCTTTCTTTCTTTCTTTTTTTTTTTTCATTGAAGGAATGCAGTCTGTCTGAATTTGTTCAATGTCTTCTTATGCTTAGGTCTTGGATGTGGTTTATTATACACTGCAACAGTGACCATTACGTGCCAGTATTTTGACAGCCGCCGAGGTCTTGCTCTTGGCCTGATTTCAACAGGTACCTTTTCAAAATAAGTCAAATTGTCACTATTCAGCCGTGTAAACAAAGTTAAAAGTTACCACACACAAATATGCTTAACCAACCATTACCCCATTAACAATCAGGTAGCAAAATACTTTTTTGTTTTGTTTTGTTCTTTTTTTTTTTTTGAGACAATAAGGTGATTCCTGGTTGAATTGAATTGAGCTGGATATTTACCTAAGGTAGGGCCTAAGGAAGCCCTGCCAGGTAAGGAATGTGAATCATGGTCTCGGAGGAGGCAAGGTCCGAGTCTGAGAACATGGCTATGGTAGAAATGGGAGGAAGAACTAAAAACACAGAAGATGGAGAATCCAGAGCAGTTGAAATGCAGTTTAAAGAAATTGTCAGGATCTCCCACAAATGTAGAAGGGAGTGTGACAGTAGACATGGCAGCTTACAGGACAATGGGTCTTGCCTACAGTATTTTCTATATAGTGTAATGTAGAGTTATAAACCCTACAGCCAGGCCTCCTGTTTTAAATCCTGCTTCTGTCACTCACTAGCTGTCTGGTGTTCTGTGACTCAGTTTTCTGAACTGTAAAATGCGCATAATAATTAATAATAATCATCACATCTAGTTATTGGAAATATTAAAGGAGTGTATGAGTAAGGCATGTGGCAAGGGCTCTAAAAGTGTTAGCCATTATCATTCTGATCTGTTTTCCTTAATGTCCCAATTGATTTTTGCCAAAGATGTTAGAAATTGTATTCTGTGAGAGCTGTGCTTGCTTTTCATTGAGTCTAGACAGGAGGGCATAGGGGCCTGGGCCGTGGCACATTACTTCAAAAATGGAGCAGCCACAGACAGTCAAGATTTTGAAGGAGTTTTAGTTTCAACTCACAGGGAGCTAGGTGAGGCGAAATGAAGGACACACATGAATCCACCTTCAGTGAAACAAAAGTCACAGTAGAATTTTTAAAATTTGAAAAGAAACACCAAATCAAAATACTTGAAGTATTATAACTTAGTTGAAAAAAAGGAATGTGGACATGAAGGAAGGTTTGGGGAAACCTGTCTTCCTCCACGGTGAACAGGGGTTGGTAAACTAAAGCCATGGGCCAAATCTGGTCTACCGCCTGTTTTTGTATGGCTACAAGCTAAGAACAGTTTTTATGTTTTTAAACAATTGAAAGAAACCAAAAGAAGGACATTTCATGACATGTGAAAATTATGTGATATTCTATATCCATAAATAAAGTTTTATTGGAACACAGCCTGCTCATTCCTTTACGAATTGTTTCTGTCTGTTTTCATGCTTCAAGGGCAGAGATGAGTATTGGGACAGAGATTGTATGGCCCGTGATGCCTTAAATATTTACTCTCTGGCCCTTTACAGAAAAGTTTATTGACTGCAGGTATTAACGAGTTGATGAAGTGTAAGTGTTCCTCTCACAGTTTCAGGTTCCCTGAACACCAATTAATATGTTCCCTCTTTCTGATATGTGTAATGGAGACACACATGGAGTACACTAAGTGTTTTATTTCACTTTGCCCTTTATAGCAATCATTTTTAAATGAGAATGTTCTTTTTGAAAATTAAAAATTACAGTTTTACGGTTTACAAAATTCCACAAGGAAACTGTACATCACTTTACATGGCCCTGAAAGCATTCCTGCATCTTTCTAAGCCATGGCCATGTTCTTGTGAGAGGAAGGCTGGTGAGGAAATGAGCCTCCTGGGCCGGCCCTGTGGCGCACTCGGGAGAGTGCGGCGCTGGGAGTGCAGCGACGCTCCCACCGCGGGTTTGGATCCTATATAAGGATGGCGGTGTGCTCACTGGCTGAGCGCGGTGCGGACAACACCAAGCCAAGGGTTGCAATCACCTTACCGGTCACGAAAAAGACAAAAAAAAAAAAAAAGAAAGAAATGAGCCTCCAAAGTGTAATTGGACTTTCCCTGCCCTGTCATATATTCAGCATATCATAGGTGTTCAATAAATATTTGTTGAATTGATATGTTTCCCTTTATTTCACTATGTTAACAGATAAACTTGGTTGGTGAGCAACGGGGAAGTTGCTTATTTTCTCAGCTTAAGGTCAAAGCAGAGAACTTTCAAAACACCAAGAACACTTTTGAAGTGTATGATGGTGTGACACTTTGTTAGGATCTGTATAGAAATGGTGTTTGAAAAAATCACGAATTA